TCCGGTTTTAAATGACATTTAATATATAAATCATTGAGCATAGTGCGAGAAATAAATAGACTTAAGATATAATCACAATGCATAAACGAATTTCAGTCATGTCGTCTCTATATCTACCTCTCAGCATACAGATTCTCATCTCAGTTGAAATAAATACCACGAACGTCGATTGAAGTATGAGTCGTTGTCACGTGTCACGGTTCCTCATTCTGTGTTGTGTCCCTGCGTCACGCTGCTGTGGCGGCTGACAGTCGTCAGGTCGTTGATGAGTAGCATCGCATTCCGCGAGCCGACCAGTTGGAGGCGAAGACCGCCCTGTGTAACGGGTAGGCGGGCTTTGTTACACTCGGGCGGTCGCACCTGGCTGACGGCAGTCTATTCACGTCAACGCGTCGCCACAGCGAGAGTAGCAGGTAAATAGCGTCGATTCAGAAATCCAAACGGTGCCAATTTGCCGCAAAAGTAGAACGTTTTAGGAATTTCCCAAGAAAGAAAATAAAAGACGAAAAAAAAGTCGCAAAGTATAGTTGAAAGTGATAATGACGTAAAAAGTTCACGTTCCCCGTGCTACGCATATTAAAGTCAAAGATAATGTCAAATTCATCAACACAGGGACTAGTGAGGGGAGTTTGAATAAACTCCGCTATTCCAGAAACTGGGCAGTGATCAACTAGTCCCTGTGTTAATGGTCTCGTTCCTTTGTAAAATTACAAACAGTCCCGTAACCTTCCGAAAAGCGTCAGTGGTTCTGCACACGAGGATGCAAAAGTTTTTGGGAACACGTCCACCATAGCGTCCACATAGTATTCGAGTCTGTAGGTGCGGCGCCGTCGGGAACTCCTTAGCACTCGTAGTTGGGGCACATGATGTGCCGCACGCTGGCGGACAGCAGCAGGACGAACTCGTAGCCGAGTAAGTAGAGGATTCTCCCGAACTTGACGGCCTGGACGAAGGTCTTCGCGTTGCTGTCGGCGCAGGTCACGGCCCGCCGGCGGCGACCTGCGCGGCGCCTGGGGCCACCCGGACGCCGTCGGCGCGGCGCTTCCCCGCTGTCCCCCCACGAGGCCCGGGTCGGCACCGGGGGCGAGGCTACGAGTAGGCGCGGTAGGCGACGGTCCGGGGGGCCGCGGGCCCGGTGGCCGCCTCCTCGTCGCGACTTGAGGACAGGACGGGCTTGGCGACGACGAAGGCCGGGTTCACCTGCGGTGGCCGGCCCGTCGACGTGGTAGGGGGTGGGGCGGCCATGATGCCCTCCCACGAGGACCCCGGCGACGACAGGGAGATGATGTCGGCCGGCAGCGGCTCCCGGAAGGCCAGCGACGTCATGGGCGGCGCGGGCGTCCGAGAGGCGGCGGACTGGTAGTGGTGCTGGACCAGAGCCTGCGGCAGGCGGGCGAACGCGTGCATGGAGCGGGGCCCCGCCAGCACGCCGCCGGCAGCCTCGTACACGCCGGCCATTCCCGCCACGCCCGCCATGCTGTCGGCTTCCTCCTCCTCGGGGGAGAGCTGCGGGGAAAGAGGGCCGGAGGGTCACCACCGGGACCACCAGGTCTAGCCCATCACCGTCACGTGTCTCCTTACCTGGAAGCTCCTGGCCGCGGGGTCGTCGTGGCTGGCGTACTTCCTGGGCGCGCTGCCGCCCGCGCCATCGTCGGCGCCGGTGTAGTCCGTCTCGGACGGCACCAGGTCCGCGGGCGAGGCGATGGCGTACTTAGCGCGACCGTCCTGCCCCTTGACGTACTGCAGGTTTCGGATCAGCAGGCTGTCGTAGTTGGCCGCGGCCACCGCGTTGCCGGCGGAAGTGGAGGACTGCGCCTTGTCGTCCTCGGGCTTCTTGCCCTGGTGGGAGATCTGCAAATCAGGGCATGGGCTATTGGAATCCATAATTTTTCCAGAAAAAATTGAAACAATTAAAAAGTCCAGAAAAAAAGGG